TATGAAATCAGTTGAAGTAATGGTGATTTGTTGAATTTATAAGAATACAGGGCAACATTAGCAGAAAACAACAGATCCTTATTATCTCGTACAGGATGGTCCAAAAGTTTGTTAAAGTATGTAGAAAAAGATTGTTGAATAACTGTAAAACTCATCATGAATAAACCATATAATATCTCATTTCTTCTTCGCCTTGAGAAACAGAAAGATGAGTATCAGAATGGTAATGTTTTAAAACCTACTTTTGAGACACCCAGTAAAAGACTGTAATATCAAAGGCAGGATGTTCTACTTATCATAAATACATCCTTTTTGTCTCAGTTATGGTACATTATTACATTGGTTATTCAACCATCTATGCAATATTACCTCATAATTTACAACTTGAGTAAACTAGAAGGCTACTATAGATAATATATATAATGAATGCCTAAGAACAATGATTACGTCCAATTGATGATACCCATTTATCATATCTCTTAGTGGTTTGGGTGGAATGTGATTGAAATATACATGTGCCTTGATATACTCGTAATGATTGATAAAACCAGTATGTAGTTATCATTATGATGTAATCTGTAATCAGGTATGATTGTCAAGTATGTCCTTCTGTAGGTGTACTTAAATATACCATGTACTGTATGAGCATGACATAGATTTTGATTCTCTTGGATTGATAGAAAATCAGTAACAATCTATACATACATGTATATAGACAGTTGAAGAAAAGGGTATATTAGGGGATCTAGAACTAGTTGGACCCCTTTTGGAAAGTAAGGTCCATTTTTTCAAAAATTGAGGCCTGGGACAATTTTCAAGTAGAGCATTTTTCATTGAGCCTCTGCCCCTCCCCCTTCCTTCTAAATCTGCACGATGTTGCATGAACTTGTTCAAAATATTTCACATTGATAGATAGTAAGATAAGATGAGAAATTTTAATTCAGATGAATATGTTTCACTGTATGGTATGTTGAATTATTGGAAGTCACTTCGACTTTCTGCATTCTTTTCTCTGTTTTCCAATAAGGTAAATCAAACTAGAGTCAGTGTGATACCATGAGTCTTCATACTTTAATTTGATAGGTAACATATGTAGATCCGCATTAGTATAACAGTAGGCAGAAGTTTTATTGACTAGTAGTTTTATAACTCAGGCCATTAGACTCTTTTGATAAAACTTTGACTTGTGCCTCACAGGCTTCGGGCCAAGCAGGGCCATTCCAGTACCCTGCGTGCAGAGTCTAGTTAAACTACACTCTGCCTAGTAGAGACCATATTACAGTTTAGTAGCCCCGCCCACACGACGGGTACCGGTAACAGTTTGGGTAATAAATCACTTTTGACCTACGCACTGACCTTTCTTCCACCAATCAGCGAGCTTGAAGAAACATACGCCAAATGCGTTCTTATTAAATATGCGCATATCATTGGTCAATTCCGGGCTCAACGATGACGTCAGAAGGAATGACCATATATAAAACGTCGGTTAAATTTGGCCGACGAACACTGATTGGCTCGGTGAGTTCACAGGTTTATTTTAGTTTGAAAGAGTGAAGATGAAGCTCTCTTTTAAGAAGTGAGGTCAAACGAATGCAAAGGGTACCATTCCAGCAAAGGCATGTATAATGTACCTGAACCAACAATTTGCCGATTTTGCTGTAGTATTTTTGGTTTCCAGGGTACTGGTTCCCAGGTTTAATATAGCCTGATAGTTTGTGAGTCACAGTTGAGATACTTGACTCCTACACCAAACACTAAAGTCAAGTTGATCCAACCAAGATATGAAATACTCCAAGTATGTAGTATGTGTTGGAATGTAATGTTACACCTGAATGTAGTGTAACATCTGGGGTTCCTTTAACATGAAAGTGGCTGCAACATTATGTATCAATTTGTATTTTAGTGCATTTCAGTCACTACTCAATAGTTCAAATACCATTCCTAATCAATAGAGTGATTTGTTCTGAGCCTATAGTTTTTATCAAGCTAGCATTCCCCTTCTACTAATCTATCTCTAATTCTACAAGGTCACCAGCCTTTATATTACCAGATCAAAGGTAGCTATCAAGCCCCTATTGCCTATCAACTCCTTTGTCCTAAAAAGCCAATATAGTATCTACCAAGTCCTGAGCCTCTACCGAGCCTAAAGTAGCCAACAGGCAACTATTTTCAGTCAACTACTTTTAAAAGTCTCTATTGCTCCCCTAGTACATGTATCTACCAAGTCCTAAGCTTCTACCAAGACTAATAAGCAACAATTTTCAGTCAACTCCTTTGGTCTAAAAAGCCGAAAATCTTTATCAATCCCCAAGTATCTACCAAGTCTCTAGCCCTTACCAAGCCCATATAGTAAGTTCTTGGTTTCTGTCAGTCCCCTTGCATCTACTAGGCCCTCAGGCTTTGCCATGCCTTTAGCCTCTATTAAGCCTCTATAGCCTATACCAATCCCCTAGTATCTACATCTTAATCCATCAAGGTATTTCATATGACTGAAGGAATACACTGGTTTAACAATATGCAGTTATGATCTACCAGGCCCCTAGTCTCTACCCATCTCCCCCTAGTCTCTACCCATCTCCTAGCTTCTATCAACCTAACCCCATATTCTTTATAAGGCCCTAAAGCACCAAGCCTCTTTCCAGTTACAATAAGCATGTGATCTTTAGATACAGGCCCGTAGCCAGGATTTGCCAAGGGGGGTTCAGTTTTCAAACATTTCCAGGGGGTTCACATTAGACAATTTTGGTCCAAATATGGGTAAAATGACTTGAGAAGTGCTCAAAATGGTGAAAAACTGCATGATTTTGAAAGAATTTTTGGCCAGGGGGGGGATATGTCCGAACCCTGCGAACCCCCTTTGGCTACAGTCCTGAGATATATATTAATTTAAACTTCATTTTGGTCGGCGCAAGCTAAAGCTCAAAATTGATTCAGAGTCAATCAAATAGAAAGAATGTCATGCTGTGACAGAAATCTGGTAATGCAAATGTTAATGTATTTAAAGGGACAATACAATCTTTGGGAGTACATTTGATTCTTGCATTGATTTTCCTATTCACGACACAGTACAATCAGTAATCTGTCTGTGTATTATTGGGGATATTTATTTGTATACAGAGACCTTGTAGTTCATAAATAATTGATTTTATAAAGCGTGTGGTATCACACATGGTCACTCGCTAGCACCTGCTCCTGTTATTGGGATTTAGTCTTGCTTCAATCCCTTGTAATGCCTGGGTCACATTTGCTGCGATTCGTCGGCCTGCGCCCAGCCGATTGAGTATTTTGTTCAAAATTGAATACGTTTCTGAACAAAATACTCAATCGGCCGAGCACCGTAGTGAAAATTGGAGCAAATGTGTCCAGGGCATAATGTGGAGGTCCAGGGATCTTATACAAGACTCGAGTTCATAGAACAATATAACCATCCAGCTAGTGCTTATCTCTTGGATTGGTGGTCTCATTCTAAATAAGTTAGCCCAAGTGCCAAAACCCCAGTATCCCCTAATATGGGGTCTTTGATTTAAAGTCCTAAGTCATTAGATATAAAAAAGCTTTGTTAGGCCTCAGTCTCACTTGCTCAGCGGCCATACAGTGGCCCTAGCTTCAAAAAATGGATACAAAAAATTTACATCCTTCATTGCATTAGAATATCCCAATGTTTTATGTTGCATATTTCCCTCAATTTTGGGAAGCTACCGCCACCATCTATTGCCATAGATTAAATATGGCTGTGGCTGAGGCATTACATTACATAATTGTTCATTGGAGCATATAATGTCCTTCATTTTGGAAAACATTGATAGTAATTTTAATTACTGTAATTGAAAACACAGAGGAGAAATCCTGAGTAATGGCCTGATGTTAAAAAGTTTATTCACCTTTTTTCATGTTTCTCATACAATCAATTTGATCAAATCAAAGCCTGATTCGTTATTATGATTAAATATCACAATTCACAATTTACCATAACAATAGTAATTGATAGTATAATTTATTGGTAATTAAAGTTGGTAGCTATTAGCCTTCAATCATTTCTATTTCCCCCAAGTCACCTTCAATCTCACTGATTATTACAAAATTCATTGATATCATCGTTATATGTCACCTTGACATATTCAGTTATACAAATACATGATACAGCTTTTTCATTTTTGCACATTGGATAGTTTCATAGTTTTTAAGTTGATTTTAGAGATTAAATCAGTGGTCACTGACTTTATTTTTTACAATTCTACTTCGATGAAATATGATTTTACATGTTTTTTGTCGTTGTTAATGATTATAAATCAAAGTGAATAAAAACACATAGTCTTTTCACAATATCCTAGATACGAGTAGAAATAATTTTGATTTACGTCATTAAAAATTCACAATTCAGTCAAACTGGTGTCATATTTGGAATCGTACATAAAAAATTACATCTAAAAATGACAATTAAACTTTGAAAAATTAATTTTCTTTGAAAATGTGACTTCTAGGATTCCCCATAGACCCCATGTTGTAAAACTACAAAAACTGAAATATATTTTCTTGTGTTGGGCAGATAATATTTTCTTTTACTGGACATATTTTAATTTGTATAACTATCACATACATAAGGGTAATTTGAAAAGTGAACCACTAAAACTGATGCATATTCAAGTTTAAGGGAATTTTGTAATACCCTGCCATGTTATTTCCCCCGAATCAGCCACCTGGTGGCGAAACTGGTAACTACCTACTCGCATCTAAGTAATTACAATAGAAAATCTGTCAAGTGTAAAGAGGCTTTATGGGTACCCTATATATGTGTATCAGATAAGTACTGTACTGCACTTAAGATATTATATTACTAAGAGTCAAGATTTATTATTATATGTTAAACGTACACATGTATGTACATGCAAATGCTTATTTGGATAAATACAGATATATAATGGCACATGCTGAGTGGAAATATTCATATGAAGTTAAGGACAACTATTATGTATCTAGAAACAGGTAGAGTTTTTGTGAATGGACATTTAAGATAAATACATAGAATAAAGGCTTTTATGTAGGCAATTTAGGTTCACATTCGACCTTGGTTTTTTTTGTACACAGAAAACATATTCAGTAAACCAGTACATAAAAGAACAGATTTAGGTTGAAATGGATTACTCCAAAGTATTCTTGGTTTTACTGAGTTTGATAGAATTGAGTTACAGTGCTAGGATACTAATGTGGCCATATTGTCAGGGCTTCAACTCAAGACTTATGAACATTGAGAAGATGTCAAATATCCTTATAGAGGCTGGCCATACAGTTGACTGGATCATCACTGAACATTATGATGAAACCAAGAGGCCATTGTCTAGTGATGTCACAGTACACAAGTTTAATGTTCCTGAAGATGTTCCACTCATAACTGATGAAGGTTACGTGGAGCAATTCATAGATATCTCACCAGCAAAAATACTGCCAATATTACGGGAGATCACTGACCAATTCTGTGAGAGTTTGATCAAGTCAGGGATTTTAAGGGTCCTGAAGGAGAAGAACTATGATGTGATGATTTTAGATTACATTGATTACTGTGGCAGGATTGGAATTGATTATCTTGGGATACCTACAATGTTGTATTCTAATTTTGGCTTTATTACATCAGAGACTATGTTCCCAAACCCTATGTCATTCGTACCACATTTTACAACTGCTTTATCTGATGATATGACATTCACAGAAAGGTTCCAGAATACGTTGACTATCTTAATGTTTTCCACAGTCGGAATACAATATTTCACAAGAGGTGTCCGTCAGTTGAAACAGGAGTATGGATTGAATTTCAGCCTGCCATTGGAAAATGCCCACATGAGAGCTGCTATGACGATTAATCATGCGCACTGGGCATTTGATTATCCACAGCCTCTATTACCATATCATATTATGGTTGGTGGGCTTTACTTTACTGATGCTAAACCTTTGGATCCATTCTTCGACAACATTATGACATCATCGCCAAATGGAGTTATTATTGTCAGTTTTGGAACACTTTTTAATAGATTCAACTCGGAGAAAAATGAACAGCTTGCGCTTGGGTTTGCTAAACTAAAACAAACTGTCATATGGAAATATAAAGGGGACCCTTTGAAAAATAAAGGTTCTAACACTTATCTTGTCGATTGGATGCCCCAGAATGACCTCCTGGGTCACCCAAATGTGAGATTATTTGTGACCCATTGTGGTATAAGTAGTGCGTATGAAACCATGTATCACGGGGTACCAATTGTGGCTATTCCAATGATTTTTGACCAGCAAGGGAATGCAAGAAAACTAACCAGGACACGTGCAAACATGGGGGAGGAACTTTCTATGCATAGTCTTACAAGTGAATCTTTAAAGGAAACCATTGAACTTGTTCTTGGAGAACCAAAGTATAAAAGCAGTGCTATTGAGATGTCAAAAAAGGTCAGGACAAATCTTGTTTCTCCAAAAGAGACTTTGTTGTACTGGGTTCAGCAGGTGGCGATGAATGGTTCCCATGGTTACCTACATCCTATAGGGCCATCTAAGATGCACTGGGCTCAGTATCATCAGTTGGATGTCATGGCTGTTTTAGCCATTTGTCTCGTTATTGTTACAGTTGTTATAGTGTTTACATGTAGATGTTGTATTAGAGGATGCTCTAATAGGTTGCGCAAGCAGAAAAAAGATTGAATCCTATTAATTTAAGTTTGGACAAACTTGAATTTTAAGAATATGTCATGCTTATAATTGACAGTCACATTGTTGTATAAGTATTCAACATAAATATACTGCAAAAATGTCTATATATTTGCACAAAAAACCATATCTCTCTAAGAACATATACAAATGCACAAAACCAGTATCAATATATACATAAAAGGATCTTGAACTTTGAACTTAAGTTTTCATGTTAGACAAGACCTGTTCTTTCTTACCTCAATCTGTACTTATTCACTCTCACAGTATTTTATCATCAAGACATGTTAGTCAGTTTGTTGGAAAGGGAACTAGATGAAAGCATATCTAAGGAAGGTGCTGACTGCTTTATTGTAGCCTTCCTGACATAAACCAGAGTGTTTCTGCGTGGAATTCTCTTCAAAAAACTGTTATGGTGGTTGTCAGAATTATCTCTGTCTAAAGTGCCTAAATTGCTTGCATCTCTATTTAATCAAAGGTGTGAATTGTCAAGTTTTTCCACTTTTTTTATATTTTACTTATGACCAGTAGACCAAATTTCTTTTCCCATGTTCTCACAGTTGGTCATGGTTTTGTGCTGAAAGGTCCTTAGCCTCTGGTATTAGGCCATTAAGTTTAGGTATGTTTCTGGCTTGGTATCAGATCAATTCATACATGTTATATTGATGTGCTTTCAAGTGGTTAATAATTTGTATTACATTTTTGTTATACATTATGTATTATAAACTCAACCCTGTCTATGTGTGCTTTTTATACTGTATCAATAATTTTCAATAAAATAACATAAAATTTCATAAACTAAAAACTACTTTTATTTTTTATTTGTACATTTTGTTTTTGTGTATTTCATCACTTGTAGTCTCTTTTCTCATAAATGCAAGATCCAGGCTCGTTGTCATGGCAACTAGACCCCTTAAAGTATGGTACAGTATCTGTTCAGATGTAAAATAAAAGATAAATGAACAAAGTAAAGGCTGGATTTAATATGATCTGATTGAAAAATCAGACCAGAAATGAATTTTGAAACATAAAACGCACATCAGAAACTTCTGTGGGGTCTCAGTATTACAATTCCAGATCTGCAGATTGTCAATAAAAAATAGTAAGTGGGTGTACACCCCATACACCCCTCATCAAAGTGCCAATAATGCCTCCCCTTATATTGTAGCCGCTTAGATTACTCAAGTAATATGTGAACATGCTCTAATATCAAGAATAAAATATACAGCTGAAAAAAATATTTCAAATGTGTTGAGTGTAAATGTGTCTCTGCAAAAAGTATTTATGCACATATTTAGGATGCTTGATTTAATTGAAAGAGAATGATAGTTTATGTTGTTATATAAAGTTTGGATCTGGAATGTTATTTCTATAAAATGTTTGTTTAGCACTGATGGTGTCTGTTTTAAAGTGACATTACTGACCTGCTTGTTTATATTGATAAAACACCAGAAATGTTCTAACTCTTAAGTGGCAACATCATTTTTAACAGTAGCTGGATACCTCTTGATCTTGAGGTGACATCCACTTACATCTACACTGTACTACCATTAGGTACTCAGTGCACATATCTTGAGAAAATCTTCCAAATGCAGGGTTCCTGAACCATGCATTTTCATTAGCATCAAGTAACGGGCAATTTCCTTTGATTTTTTTACCCAAAGTCGCCTGTTTTGTGGTGGTAACATATTTTCCAAGTCTCCAATTTTTTGGGATGGAGTTCAACAGCCTGTGCATAATTTCTTATAATTTTTTTCTAATAACTCTTCATTTGTTTTGCATTTTATCAGAAAGACACTGTTCTGGGAACTCATGCTCAGACATTTTTCTGGATCTTGTTGCCCCATATTTTAAAGAAGTCTTCAAAAGAGAAAAATGGGGACTCCCTGTCTGCTCACCTTCTGACAGCATTTGTATTTAGACCATCTCCATGTTGTCATAAATACCCAAGTCAGCTAAGCAAGCAGCTGTGTTATTGTTTGGTTATGGTCTCATATCAACAGAACAGGGGACATTTGACTCATTTAAAATATACAAGGTGTCATGTAACATAAAAATGAGATGCTGTAACTTGTTTTTTCTGACATTATCTTCTCAGTAAGGCAGCATCCTTCTTCATCCACAGCATGACTTCAGATTTATCATTCCCATCCTTTACTCTGCCCTTTTTAAGAGGGATTTCACGACTTAAATCTATACTCTTTGGATAAAAGATAATCGTTTGATCTATTTGTCTTATCCAATCAGACAATGCAATTCAAAATGCAGTAATGGCAATTTTGGGCAGCTACTTTTGGACAATAAATAGGGACAGAGAGCAGTAATTACAATGGATATAAGCAGTACTGGCAGACAAGGGAGCGGGCAATACATGCAAAACTGTGACTCATGAAAGATCAGCATAAAGGGTCATGGAGATATCTAACTAAGGGCTGTACTTCCTTCTTGTTGAACTATTTCTAAACATGGCTCCCAGAAAGAGAGGGGGGTCTAAAACTGTGACTCACAAGGATATTGTAACATGAGGGTTATCTTGTCATATCTGTATCACCCTATCTACCATCAACAATCTTTCTCTGCAGTAAAAAAAAGAACTGTAATATTGTCCGTGTTGTACTATCCCTTGAACTTGATCATGTCAGGGTGTGTTTTAGTATGCTCTTTGCTTGCTTTAGTATTTAATTTCTGGGGATCTACCTTGTCGTGATGTGATACGTTATTGTGTTCAAATGTGGTTTCTGGAACTAAGCATAGATAAGCAGCGGGACAGTTTTTTGTTATTGCAGAGGAAAATGTTGGTTTATAAATAAATAGAGTTTACCCTGCTGCTTTTTTGCTTTTTTCAACTTATATTAAGTTGACAGACCTTGAGGATAGTATGTTCAAATATTTGCTGCATCGTTTTAATTTGTTTACCCTACATAAAAGGTAAGTCATATTTGTACATGTAGTTATATGTGTTGTATGCTGCAGGCCATGCAAACTTACCTTAATATTTTCATTAAATTAATTGACCAATTAATGCCTCATGAATGTTAAACTATTTATACTACACTTTTAAAATGTTTGCATAAATTGAAATTGACTCGATGTAACATATAATGGTGGATACGGAACTAGAAAACTGTTTTAACACAAATATTGCAGTAATCTAGAATATTATTTGAATTTATAAATTGATTCTCATCATTATCATTAATGAAGTCATTTCTTTCGAGTCATTTTGTGAAAGTTTAACTCATCAGCAGACCGGGTTAGAGGCAAATCCCTACAAGGGACAACAAAAAGGATCTTTGATCTGGATAGGTTGGAATATTCAAAAAGAGACATTTTGGTCAAAATAATAGCAAAATCGCTTGAAAAAGTACAAACTCTAGCTTATTATATTAAGAGGATTACAGTTGTTTTATTGGACAAGAAGCAGGGGTCTTGTTAAAAAAGTCATGTCACTCTCTGATTGTTTGAGACGTCATGCTGTACAACAAAATATTTACATGACTCAGGCTAGGAATGTTCACAAAAAGTGAATGTTTCAATTTTTAGAACATGGTTCCACTTAATGTTTTATTTACTAATCTATTATCACTCTATCAATAGTGACACTGAGAAAACTGGATCCAGAGACTTCACATGAGTTTTGATATGATGAATAAACTCTGTTTCAAGAATTTTGAATTGTTTTGAACGAAAGTATACTTGACACTTTCAGCTCTGCATTTACTACTTTTGAATTTTCCTCAGAAAATAGTTATTTTGTCCTCTATGACTCTGTATAATTCTGGAGTAGTATTATATATGGCAATAATAAGTGTTTTAGTTGAAATATGACGGATTCTTTGATCTTTGGATGGATCGAAGTTACTTTATATCCCGCAAACTGAGTTTTTGTACTACAGGAGAGAGAAAGGAACAGTCGAAACCTATGGAACCAAGGCAAGAAGGTTTGGCTCCCAGGGTTCCAACTCGATATTCTGGCATATATGGAGTCATGTTGTGATTACAAAATTAAAAATTAAACAGCCGCTGTTTTTTCACTTGAGAATATGAATCGTGAGTTTTTGTCTTATTTCGAACAAAAAATTTCAAAACACATTTTTGGATCGCTGATTATTTTATAGCCATAATATCAGACAAAAACGATATTTACATTGTCGTCATCGATATCGCTAGAATATTGGCCATTCTCCTTGTAGTTCATTTATGCGTTCTTTGCCGCTGAAATCAGCACTGAACAAGTTGCGTGAAGAGTAAAAATATCAAGTCGGAATCCTGGGATCCAATTTCCTCCTTTGAACCAAAGGTTTTATTTTGTAAAATACTTTATAAGTATAAAAGAGACCCTATGTATATAATCCCATTGTCCTCTCTCTGGGGAACCATGTATGGTTCTGAAATAATTGCAACGAAAAATGAAATAAATAAAAAAATAAATAAAAGAGAATGTCAGTGAGTGAGTGAATTAAGATTGCCCGAAAATGTGCATTATTAGAGAAATAATCTGAAATAACCTTCCAGTCAGAGCATTGATACACCAAGGGATTTAATAGTTTGAGATCAATGTCTAAAAAGTGTAGAAAAGTGATCACTGCTCAGATTTAGAATCACACAACAGCTGAGAAAGTTTAGTCTACAACAGTAAAGGGGTTCACCTTAATATGTTCCAATCTGCAACATTTGTTCTGCAGAATGGACTAGCAGACCTGAGAAGGAATATTATTACATGGTCAGACTTCACTTTTCCACACAGAATGCTGAGAAAAGTAGGATTATAAACAAGGATAAAACTCAGCAGATAGACAAAAATTAGAATTTTGAAAAATACCTGATACTATATCAGGTACTATTACGGCATTGTCAGTATTTGAGAAAAAATCAGGAAAAAATCATAATAATTAAACTGTTTGGAAGGGTCAGGAAATGTGAAGGAAATGACTTTAGGTTTGAAGTCAGTTTGGAGACGGATATAGTTGTGTTAGATACATGTAAAATATAAGACAACAGGATTATTAAAGACAATAGCGGCTTGACCTTCAAGATTTGAAAATCAATCATTTAAAGGAAGTACTGTTAACTGGTTAACCAATTTATAGTTGTAAAGTACAAAAACAAAAAATGACACTCAACACGAAGCCACACTTTTGCTTGAATACATATAATTTTCTGACATGTTAGTCTGTTGACATTGTGTTATTTTTGTGAAAGTATGCAATGCGAAATAATTGGAAGCCATTGTGAAAAGGAATCTAAGTGGAAACTAAAGTGATACACTGAATTCCCGATGGCGTAGTTAACACATTCGGGTGGATTTTATGAGATAATTATTTTCTTTTAGAAATCTTCACAGGATTCTGAATAATTCGCCTAGAAGGAAAACTGAAAGTTGTGAACAGTTAAAAATAATGAACTCATCAGGAAAAAACATCATCAAAATACATGAATCTGTATCAATGAAATAAGTTCATTTTATTGAAGTACCACCTGAATTGTTAGAGTTCTATGGATTAAAACAAATATTGGGAGTTCAGATTTGGATAACACAAAAGTCAGATGATGAGAATAATCTACAGTGGAAAATTAAAGTAAGTTTGAACATATACAACGTATATATTGATATTTTAATTTATTTATTTAATCTTGGTGGATAAATGGTGCAATAACCTAAAACAATATGTACAAGAATATTGATGGTAACTATGGTCCTGTGCTGAGGCCCTGCTGCCTCCGCTTTTACTAGTGTATTACCCTCAGTTTATGAAAGTGACGTTTATAAGAGGGACAGGGGGACGTAATATGGGGTTGAATCAAAATTATACCATCATCTATTATATCTTAACCAGGATAGGATTTTACAAAGTTGAACTTAATTTTTAAAATGTCACAGTCTATTATGATACAACATAAATTGTATTATCCTGCTATTCATATACATGTACTTTGAGTTGATTTATTTGTATTTATTCAAATGTCATTCTAACCTAAGGTATCAAATCGTGTTTTGAGTTCGAATCAAATGTCACATGATTCTAATGGTTGGGAAATGTGAGTCTAGAAAAAAATGTTTTCCAGCACACATTGACATAAGGGGGTCCCATATGTTGATGCTTGGTCCACTGGGCTGGAAAATTACATCATATCATATTCTGGGAAGCTCTGCAATAACACTTATGGTAGTTAAAGCTATAAATATTCCATGGGTGGCTTTTAATGACCTAAACATTCCTTTCCATTAAAGCACTATTGATCCTCAATCATATCAATAAACAACAGAATTTTTTCATTATCAAAAGTAAAAAGAGAACATATCAAACCAAAATAAGCCAGTTGACAAATTCCTACATGACTTTTCTATAGGCTCAGGGGTGGTCTTGGATAATGCAGTAAAGTAGGCGTGTAATAGAACATATGTAGTAGAATATATACATCCTACTATGCAGTTACCTCAGTCTAAGTTGAGGTATTACCACCCAAATAATATATAGGGTTATGTGTAAAAATGTAATAAGCAAGAAAGATACTTGTATGTTAATGTATGTTTAGACTGAATATTGTTTGTGCATATTTTCTGAATCATATTTCCATGGGTATCTATTCTTATCCAGACTGCACGCCTTGTAAAATATGAAATAAGCAAAAAATTTATAGATGATAATATGACATTTTTGTTACAAAGATGGCAACATTAAATTGTTTAGAAATGACCATTTGACCATATGTTTGACAGGAATTTGAGTTCATAAAACATAATCTGAGGTTATTTCGATTTGACTGTCATTTTAATTTGGGTGCTTTTTAAGTACTATTACTCCCTGAGTGTAATGTTAAACTGAGTACTGTTTTAAATTGAGTATTATTCTACACTGAGTGTCATTTAATTCGGAATGCCTTTCTAACCTGAGTGCATTAGCAAACTGACTGACTGTGAGATAGAAATAAACAGAAATTAGATTTATTTGCCAGAAGTATGTACTTCTTTCTTCCAAATAGAATGACTTTACCAGGTGAAATGGTAATAGAAAATGTGGAAAATTCTCTATGTCTGTTTCATTATTTCGGTGTTTGTCTATTAATAACACAACATCGTGTCTGTTAGATATGTACTGGTACATGTGTAAGTAATGTTTAGAACAACTATGGATGTGTAACATAAACAAGGATGATGGTATGGATAAATATATAATAGAGGAAGGGGGTACTAATATGAAGGGGGGGGGGCAGTTGGAATAGACTCTTACTTTGATAGAGGAGATGTCATGGCCAACATTTTTTGCTTGGCCTGATGAATCAAAACAAAATACATTTAGCATTGGTGTTATTTAGTTTGATTCACTATAATTGTGCCTTGTTGCATTCCATGTAAAGTGGAGGTGGCTTGAGGAAATTCAATCAAAACACACAATCTGAGCCCAGCTGTGCTCAAAGTATCACTCATTGGTGAACTATTTCATAGCATTTCTCTATAAAACTTCAATGCATTGCATAAAAGTCTTCCATTTCTGTATGATGTAGAGTATTAACTTCATGCCTGTTTAGTTTATTCCTTGCTGATTCCCCTCTTTTATCCTCTATTTTGTGTTTAGACATGACCTGTTGTTAAGGTTCTGTACAGGCAGGGCACTCTATTCTGTTACTTGAAACTTCAGGTTACTTTCACTAGTAAATTGCAGAATCTGTTGCAGCTAAACCTGATACTAGCAGAAACACAAACATAAACATGTTATTGTTCTTAGTACAACCTTTAGTATGAGACCACATCCCTACCTATTATCACTCAAGATCTATACCATAGGTTTCTAGGCAATAACTTAGCCCTTGTTTATTAAGCATTGAGCCAAAATATCATTTTCATGATGTTAACTTAATACACACCTGACATACATAGCATGTTGGTCCAAGATGTATTGCTTTCCTGAAATAAAATTGATATTTTGAATGACCAATTCCTCAATCTGTGACCTTTCCCAGCTCTTCATCTAAACAAAGTTGTTCATGTTATATTGCAAACCTGCACTAGAATGCACCTGGGATCTTAGAAGCGCTGTTGCAAATGTACATGTTTAGTTAGGATTGTCAGGTCATAGCCAAGATTTTACCTGTTGATTTGAACTGTTCAATGAACCTATATTCCCTTGGAAATAATATTGCAAGCTTACCTTTTCATTGGTAGCAGCTCCAATCCTTGAAAGAAGTTAAAAAACAATTGTATTTTTTTATTTCTTGATTGAAGTGTTCAATTGTAGGAAGGTCACGATCCCAACTTCAATCAAGTTATTTCCTCTGATAAAGCTATAAGGTATAATTGGTTATCTTGGGATGATCTATGATCTCTCTTGAACTGTTAAGCAGATTATCTTAACCTCTTAATACATCATTAAATCGACACCTACATCATATATGAACAAATGGAAGGAATAAATGAAGCAACAAACATTCATACAAGCAAATAATTGAATTTGAATATTCAAAAAAAATCTTTTTGACGAATATCTGTCCGAACAATCATCATTCTTTAGAAAAACAAATGTACAGTACTGTTCATTAATCTAATCCTTAATGTGTATGATTTTTATCAGGATGCCCATCCCTTCTCTTATTATATATTAGCCAAAAGCCATTCATGTTCTCTCTCAGTTTCACTATGTATCAACTGACTCCCCCAGGAGAAACCATTTGAACATCATCATACATCTCAACTCCCCCAGGAGCAGTTGTACAAGAAAACATGAATTCCAATCAACTTTGCAACCAAGAAAGAAGTTCTATTTTTGCTCCAATCTCTCTGGAGTAGTATTATAAGAACATTCTGCCGCCTTGATTCATTTGCGTCAAACTTGATGTGATAGGTGGTTGTTCGTAGATGTTAGGCTCTTACATCACAGATAAAGTCTACATGTGTTTTCTTTCATCTTGATTGCATAAAGAACAATGGTCCTCACAATAAGCCTTGCATTCTCTCACTGAGATTCATCCTTTTTTATTATGAGTATATTTGGAACTATAGTCTAGCATCAAGTCTCTGAACCCCCTCCCTATTTACTTCACCTAGAAGTGAGGCATGTGTTGGGGCTATACGAGCTTGAAGCAAGAAGATTTTAAAAGGCTTTTTAGCTAGAAATGCCATCTTGTCTATGTAGATATTTTTTCCAAACTTGGGCTGAAAGTGGAATACACTGTATAGTAGCATATTTCCCATAATTTTTTAACTTCCTTGGAATGGCTTTTTTCTCATTATAAAAATTAGGCTGAAATTCCTGTTTGATTAACTCCATATTTAGAATGACTTCATGTCAGAGTATATTATTCCTGTCTTATGTCACAATTTCAATTATAGTAAGTGGTCATGGTACCCTGATGCCTCGAGACTGGGTTCATGTTCTCTCCTCTGAAGGTCTTTTATTACTGAAAAGATGCTCATGACCTCATTAAAAATAGAATGTTAATATTTTTTCGTTGGAGTTTTCACTATAAAATGAATGTCAGCTATGAATAGGTATATTGATGAACCAATCAGATATGTTGTTGATTTTGTTTTGTGTAACACATTCTAAGGATTCTAATTGGCAAAGCTAGATCAATTCCATATTGAAAGAGCACGGAGCTCTCAAAGTGGAACTCTGTCCAAAGGGTAGGATCACTGTGACATGTTACCTCAGAATGGTGAGAGTACATTGATGTCAGAACCTTATGTTGTTAGGTAAATGCTATTATATATCACTCATCCAAAGATAACCTGGTGGCATTGCTACATCCTTGAAAAGATGAAGCTGCTGCTGCTGCTGTTGGTGAAAATGAGAATTCAGCAATTTATTCCTCTGAATCAGTTTGGATATAGAAGTCTGCCTTAATAATGTTCACTATTTGTATATATTGCAGATCATATATTCAAAGGGAATTCCTGAGATTAAATTTTGGTTAATTCTTTCCGGTTCTTGCTTACAAAAGAGAAAAAAACATGAAATGCAATAACATGCTTTAATGCTGAAAAATGAAAAATTATGACGTAAGGAGAATTGCTGAAGATATCACTCCACAAAAGTACTTTTAATACATCAACATTTCTTGCATTTTCCCTTGAGTCAAACTGTAAAACAAAAAATGTCTTGCCAGATCTTCCTCAAGACAAACTGCACCACTGTTATGTAACAAGGACCCATGACTACTGTTCCTGGAAATTCAACATTCATTTACCTTTTTCCAAGTAATCCATTTATTTGGTTGCTATCTCTATTTCCGGATGTTACACTGGAAAATTGATAATGTTGAATCATTTGAATGTAAACCAGCTTTGATGTACTTCAACTCAGTTTTATTTCTATTGTCTAATATTAGTATTTACCTTACCTTTCCTGGTATATGGTGCAGTTCATAATTTTTTGTAGGATTGAAGGAGGAAACATTCTGATCATTACATATGCATAAGGCGAGATTGAAGATGTCATCTTTTATTTATATAATTCTGTTATTGAAATATTGCTGTTTGTGCTTTTAGGTGGGAATGGGTAGAGATCATCGAGCCCCGTACTGGGGACCACATGTACGCCAACCTTGCCAGCGGAGAGTGCGTCTGGGACCCGCCACCTGGTGTCAAAATGTAAGTACTACTTCTTATTCATGACGCAAGTTCAGATTTATTTCTGAACTCATAGGGGAATGATTTTCAGCACAAGATAAATGAAGAATTTGAAAGGTGCCATTTTGTTCATGCCTTCAGATTACACATTTTCCCTTATGTACCTTTCTAAATGGTACCTTGTAGGTTTAGGTATATGTAATTTCATGATTTTGAGTGAAATCATGGTTAAACAACACAATTTAGTGCTGATGTCAATATCAACATGTTGATAGAAAAGGAAATCTTCATATTAGATATATTCATATTAGATAATTCCACAATGGTTTTGAAAAGATATTTACTGATGTCATCCCCAAATGACCAATAAGGCAATCTCACCATAATATTTTGCTGTCCTTAATACATTGATGATGAAATTATTCTACTACTTTTGACATAATCGAGGAATAATTGATGAGTATAGGAAAATATATATGGAGTACCTTCAATCATTCAAAGATGGGTCTACTGCCAGATTCTGTTTGAATATACCATGAGGCCCACATTTTATTCCTAATTACGACCAAACAGATGAAGCTCTCTTTTAAGAAGCAAAATGAAACAATTGATAAGAGTAGATTAACTTAAAGGGATACCAGTTAGTAGTAAAACATATGGACGACTAATCTAATTGCTGTGAATCAAGATGATACTAGATACTAACAAGATAGCCAAAGGTCTGGCCAAAGATAAAAAATATCTTGTTAAAAAGTTACTGTAACTTAATCTGATTGAATCCTTGCAGAGAAAGTTTAGATAAATTTTTGGAGACTTTGAAGTAGAATCTTCATTATCTATGTGTATCATGTGTATTTCATTCACTGGATGCCTCCAATTTGCAAACTAATAACAATTTTCCTCTATGGGGTTTTCTGTATGGTTTTGGTGATTGCTTGTTACATTATTTTAACAGTTGATTTAGTTATAGCTGGCCTCTCTGTTTCTCTGATGTTGAAATCTTCATGTTTGAAGTAAAATACATTAATGTGCAACTTTGGTTCTTTCATACTCTAAGTACAGCTCTATTTTTTATATCAACCAAAATTGCCATGGTACCATTTTAGTAGTCTAGCTACAAGCCCCTGTAAACTCTCTCCCACTACTTGACTACATAACTTCTCATGCAGGCGGTTTTAGGGGGGGGGGAGCTTGTAGCTAGACTACCATTCAAGCTGCTGGTAATGAAAAGTGCTTAAATACTGTGATTTAAGCATTTGATGAAAGAAGCATCAGATGGATTCTTGTCCAGTTTGATTCATGGTCAAGCAATATTGCTTCTCAATAATTTGTGTAATATCAGTGGAATTAGTTATTTATGGAAATCCAGAGACTAAGGACCTTGGGGTCCCATTAAGTGAATATATCAGGTCAATTTATGATCTCTCTGTGCCAGAATCATTGGATATCAATGAGAGCAAAGCCCATTAGGTGTTCTTTGACACAGAAATTCTATTTCTTGCATATTGAATTAAACATACCATACCAGGATCGAATATATACCCATATAATAAGAAAAAAATCAATCTAAATCTAGAAAGTATGTTCCCTAATACAGAGATAAAGTAGATTAGAAGGGTTGGCATCATCCTAAGGATGTATCTCCTTTGGGAGACATTGGGATAAAGTTGATGTATCTGCTTCAGTGTAGCATCCAATTACCTCACCAACAAAACCAACCAAACAACCAACCAACCATCCAACCATCCAATCAACCAACCATCTTACCAAACAACAACCATCCAATCAACCAAACAACCAACCAAACAATCATCTAACCAAACAACCGACCAATACTGAAAGAAACTCAACTGATGATTGCAATGTGGTTTGCTATTTCTGTTGGCCTTTCTTGCCATACATGATGATGATGCACCAATTCAATCAACAGAGGCCATGTAGCTGTCAATCATAGCTATTCAACCAATTAATGTTTCTACTGAACAAGAAACTCTATCAAATCAAGAACATCACAAACAAAATACATTCAATTTGTGACCCTTTATCTGCAGGTCAAGAGCTAGGTGAATTTAAGCTAATATCTAATGCAATTTAAACAATTTCTCATTCACATTCATCTAAAATAGATATTTTACTTAACTTGGAGATTACCCTGAGTATCAGAGCATGGTAATTAAAATGTAGATGAAGCTCTCTTTTAAATAAGCAAAATTATAATGGGAAAGAGTGCTTGGAGGAATGCATGCCAGATGGTCTGAACAAACCTGTTCAACATAAAGCAGTGCTCTCCCTAGCATTGAAACAATTGCACCATGCACCCAATTGAGAATCTGAAAAAAGTTTGCACCCTCTTGACAACCTATTTGCACCCACTTTGAAATCAGAAAAAATCATGAAAAATAGCCTATTTTGACCAACTTTGGGAAAAAGTATGAAAATGTGAATTTTGCCCCCACAAGACAAAAAATCCTGGGAAGAGACCATTGATATGGGAATATCATCATGATAAACCATGTCATCTCAAATCTTCTCAGCCCAGTTTCAAGTGAAACAGAAAGATGCTATGAGTATCAGAATGTGGGAATATATACAATCTCTGTAGGTCTAAAACATGTCCTCATTACAAGTGACCCGTCACAAGTTCCTGCTTGTGAATTACTAGCTCTTCAAACAGAATCTTAATTACCCTGGAGTGTGTATAACCTCAGATGAAAATGTCATGGATGTCAGGTTATCTCTACCCTTTTCAATCATTAGATTTCACTTACAGAGCTTCATCTACAATCATTATGATTACTACCGACCTCAGGGTAGGTTTATTCGGCAGTTCTCTAAAAGGTATTAATTCATTTCGTGACTATAATTTTGATCATTCTTAAACTCATAACGACTTTCTATTGTACTTGAAACATGCATCACGAGAGCTTTTTATCAGTTCCTAACACGAATTGCTAGTTTTGGATCTGAAAGATGTGATAAGTATCAGAGTGATGAGCATAATCTCATACCCTGAGCGCAGAGTCTAGTTGTGAAGTCAAACAAATGTAAAGGGTAATGATCTCATGGCTGAGATGAACAATCTATCATTGTTTATTAGGATGCATTTAGGTTGTTTCTTTCACACCTATATCCTCATTACATCATATTTAATTCCTCTCATAATCCTTATATCAGAAAGCAATCAATGATTTCGTTTTGTTTATACTGTAGTTTGTATAGTGCTCTAAAGACCAGTAGATGTTTCAGCCTCGTAGCCAGAAAATTTTGCCAATTTGAAAATTTCAGGAGAGGTGCAAAGATGGCAATTCTGGTCTAAAGTCACATGAAAAGTACTCAAAATGGTGAAAAACTACATGAGTTTGAAAGGAAGTCCAGAGGATAGAAGTATGAATTATGACCCTCTGACTAGAGCTCTGTTTTAAAGGCTTCATTTACCAAATTCTTGAAAGGGTAATAGATATATCTTTGACAATGGCATTCTAGTTGATTCTATATGAGTATCCATTTGAGATTTTACAGTAAAATATATCTAAACACATATTTCAGTCAAGGGATTCAATAGTAAGAGAGCTAAGTGGATGAAGCTCTAATACTTGTAAATTAGCTTCTTTTCAGAGCCTAATAGATTATTCCCTATATAAGAGCATTCTAGACTTGCATCAAAGAGAATGTAGATTTAGTTCAACTTTTAACAATTGAAATGTGAATAACCTGAAATGAACTGAGATTCAAGGCTGTGGACGGACCCCCCCCCCATTATCTACTTCACCAACACTTGGGATGGTATTTAGTGTGGGGGGGGTCACAAGGGCGTATTGCTAGACTAACTGGAACTATCCACCAAAGTGCATTCTGTATCATTTCCTCTTCTCTTCAGTATTGAGGTAATTTACTTGTAAAAAGAATACATATTGAATAATGTGATGAATATCAGAATGATAAATGTAACCAAAATGGATGTTGATCTAAAGTCACAAGATGAGGGGGTGGTAGCATTCTGATACTCATAGCATCTCTCTCTGCATCTGTTGCATCTCTCCAGAAGGATAGAGATGGAGAGGGCGTGGGCGTGGCTTACCACGATGGGGTGTAGGACCTCAAGATCTTTCAGAAAAAATATTCAGTGCACTAAAATGAATGAAAACATAATATTTTATTATATGATTGGATCTTTAGATTAGTTGTCCTTATAGCTAGAGGGGATTGGAAGACTGAAGTCAATTCACGTGCCTTTATAATTGTTAGAATATGCTCATAAATATCCATTCAGTTCCATTTATATTTACTGTTTTATCTTTAGAAAACCATAATTATATAGAAGTTATACATGAATATAAATAGTAATTTTTGGAGAAGACGCCTATGATGTGACAATTCCCTGAAGCAATCTACTGGGTGGCTATACTCTTACATGGCATAATTCCCAACTATACCTCTGTTTCACCCCTGTCTTTGATAATGTTTTCACATTGACCTTTAGATCATCGCAGAGAATATAGATCAACTTCTCTCTATGAAATATATTGTATAAGTAGGCCCATGTCACCTGAGAAAATAAACAAGTTGAGCCAGTATCATGACCCTCTGAGAATATTTGACACCATGATAGTTACATAACAGAGACATGTAGCTGCCAGTATGCACCCCCTCCCCCCTTGATGTATCATCTGAAAATAAACAATAAATAAACAATAACACTCCTTAGTCAGACTGAGTACTTTGAATCATTATCTGATAGCTTACTAACCCCTGACTGTTCAAGATTTTACAGTTTTGATGCTAATTTGATCTTAATGATCGCAAATGTAGGTTTCATGTTTTTCATTGATTTTCAATTTGAAATGAGTGTTAACTTACATGTAGCAGAAAATAATAGTACAATGATTTCAAAATTACAAATTCTGATTAGAGGCTTATATCATGTACATTAGTACATGAGACTACATGTATTATATCTGATTTAAATGGTGTTTGTGAACTTTTTCAAATAGAAAGTTAAATGGAAAGACTAATGACCCCGT